ATATTAACTATACGTATATAAAAAAAATTTAAATATAACTATTTAGATTTTAATTTCTAATTAATAATGGATATATGCTTATTAAATATTTCTGGCAAACATTTTTACGAATAAGAAATGAATATGTAGATAACACGTGGATCTCTAATAAATATCTTTCGTAGCTATTTGGTGGACATGGATATTATGTAGATAACATGTAAATATCTAATGAATATCCTTGTCAGATATTCAGTGGACGTGGATATGTGGACAATAATCGGATATCCACTAAATATCCTTGTCAGATATTCAGTGGACGTGGATATGTGGACAATAATCGGATATCCACTAAATATCCTTGTCAGATATTCAGTGGACGTGGATATGTGGACAATAATCGGATATCCACTAAATATCCTTGTCAGATATTCAGTGGACGTGGATATGTGGACAATAATCGGATATCCACTAAATATCCTTGTCAGATATTCAGTGGACGTGGATATGTGGACAATAATCGGATATCCACTGGATATCCTTGTTAGATTTTTAGTGGACATGGATATGTGGACAATAAGTGGATATCTACTAGATATTCTTGTTAGATTTTTAGTGGACATGGATATGTGGACAATAAGTGGATATCTACTAGATATTCTTGTTAGATTTTTAGTGGACATGGATATGTGGACAATAAGTGGATATCTACTAGATATTCTTGTTAGATTTTTAGTGGACATGGATATGTGGACAATAAGTGGATATCTACTAGATATTCTTGTCAGATATTTAGTGGACGTGAATATGTGGACATTATATGATATCTAATGGATATCTACTGGATATTTTTTAATAAATTTTTAGTTAACATGGATGTGTGGATAATATGTGGATATCCACTAGATATCCCAGCTGGTTATACGGTAGATATAGATATTTTTGATATCTAATAGATATCTATTGATTATCCATAGTAGATATGGACATTATATGGATATGTCGATATCCAATAGATATCGATTAGATATGTAGCTCTGTGTGGGTATTGACATCTACACATATTTAACTTGTGATTCGGATGCAAACCAAGTTCATGGTTGTATATTTCTATATGGGTTTCCGACATTCACGTAATGAGGAGTGATATTATCAGAAATCGGAAGTGACATCATCCATTTTTTTGAAATTTTTGAATTTCAAAAGTGTTTTCGTGTTTTGTACAACCAGTCTCAAGGGTTTTATTGAAAATGGCTTTTTCATCTTAGGAATCCATTGTTAGAGTAGCAGAAGTAATTCCATCAACTAAAAACAGGTCAAAAATTAATATTGATGGTTTCGAATTCGTGAAGGATAAAAATCGTGATATGTATTATTGGATTTGCGAACGTAGAAGCAGAAAAAAGGAAAATGGACAATGTATTGCAAGAGCAATAACAATTTTGATTAACGGATAGCACATCATAAATTTCGTAAATTTGATGCTTCGAAACACAATCATGCGGGTTAAGTTGACAAACCAGAAATTGAAAAAACATGCAATCAGAAGCGATTCTTGGCGATTGTTTGGTACATGTACCAGCAACTATTTCACTAAATACTGGTTCTTTTCTATACGCGCCAAAGATAATTTACTGTTATATAGGGACATGAGTTTCAAAGCATATTAAATACTCAAAATAAATTTAACACAAATTGATATGTAAAAAGCATAGTATTATATTTGGCGCGTATTTGCAACTTACCAGTAACTAACAACATATACCCTGCTTCATTGCTCGGTATAGCGTGGTATCAACCAGGTAGATACCAAAATGGCTAGCCACGCCTCTACCACAAATTACTAACCACGCGAAAACATTCTGGTACACCTTGATACATGTACCAAACGATCGCCAAAAATCGCCTCAGAACCAATTGGTTAAAAGCAACAATGATCAACCGGCTTAAATCATCAACAATGTAGTGGCATCAACGTCATGGGATATTAAGCCCTATCTACCATCAAAAGATGCATTGAGACAGCAAATCAAAAGAGCCAGGAGAGGTGATACTCCTGCAGAACCAAAAACATTAGAAAAGTTTTCAAGGCCTGATGAATTATTATTCACAATTTAACCATTTTTGCAAGAATATAAAAGATGGAAAAGAGAATTTTGGTTTTTGCTACGAGTGAAAATTTGAAACATTTGCAAGAGACAAAATACTGGATAATAGATGGTACATTTAAGACCGTTCCAACTGTCTTTAGACAAATGTACACGATTCATGCAGATGTTGGTACCCAGCTAACCATTTGCTTGCGGATTGTTAACAAACGGCAAACAATTCCCTGTGGAACGAGGCTGCCAAATTTAGGGCCTACTGTGTCTTCGAGTGCTCCCCAATTGCAACCAAAAGTTGAAATCATATCCTGATGTCAAATTGGGTACAACACCAGAGCAGATCTGTCACTAGCAGTGCGACGACAGATTGACGCAACAAATCGAGAGCAGGTTTGTCAACCGCAGACCGACAACAAATTTGTGCCAAATGCCCAGCAGATCTACGGCAATTTTCGACGACAAAAATTAGATCAGTTACAGTATTAATATATAATAATACATATTAATGTGTTAAAACATATAGGTAAATTTAAATAATTTGATTTATAAAATTAAAGATTTTTTTGGACAGGAATTGTCCGAATAAGTAAAAATCGAACAATTATTTGTTCGATTTTCCAAAAATCAGTTCAATATTTGAATTATCCTGTATAGGCATCGTGTCAAAAATTGAACTGATAGAGATAGATATATTACAATATTATTAGTCACATTTTGCAGGCTTTATATACACTCATGACAAAAACTTGAATACGAGTATAGATATGAATAACACGCCGCATAGCGGTAAACGACTGAACTATACTATTTCAAATAATAGAATTTTGTAATACTTTGTCATATTCTGCTTGGTTTTCGCTGCCAATATGCTATTATATTGTGCACGCCAGATCTTGCTCAGTTCGTGCCGACAATCTGATGCTAGTCTGTCAGTCATGTCAGCAAGCTTTGCTCGGTTTCCACCGTCAATTTACTGTCGGGTTATGTCGGCAACCTTTGCTCAATTTTTGCCGTCAATCTGCCAGCTTAATCGGTAATAACAACTTTTGTACCCAATTCGTAGCCTTTTTGCTGACAATAATTTGTAGCAGGCCTTGCCAAAATCTGTTAGAACAGACTTGGCTAACTGGGTAGTGATTCTAATCCTCGCGTTGTGCCATTAGTCTACGCTCTCATGAGCTCAAAGAGTGAAGAGCTGTACAAAAAATTGTTTCAAGAATTAAATAATTGGGCCGAGGAACTTTCACTTGATTTAAAACCCGATTTTGTGCTGACAGATTTTGAAAAAGCTGCAATCAATGCAGTTAACTCCGAATTTCCGTCAGCACAAAGTAAGGGTTGCCATTTTCATTTGGCTCAATCAGTTTATAGACAAATCCAGAGAAATAATTTGACATCGAAGTATGGTAACGATCAAAATTTAAATCTTCTCATTAGACACTTTCTTGCCTTGGCGTTTTTGAGTCCTCTTGAAATACCTGTAGCTTTTGATGAACTGAAGGAGCTTCTGCCTGAAGAGGCAGAACCAATTATTAAATGGTTTGATGATAATTATGTTCGTGGAAGACATCGAAGAACTTTAAGAAATGGACAAATTCAAAGATGGCCACCGGCATATCCACCAGAAATGTAGTCTGTATTTGAAAATAGACACTTAGCTTTACCGCGTACTCAAAATAAAGTAGAAGCATGGCATAGACGATGGAAAAGTTTCGTTGGCCATGCTCATGTAGGAATTCTTGCTATTATTAAGGAGATTCAGAAATAGCAAAATATTGTTGAAAATGAAGTTGAACGAGCTTTGAGAGGAGAGCCATCTCAAAAAATGCGGCATGATGATAATCAAAGAGAGATTCGCATTCAAAATGTGATCCGTGATCGTGATAATAAAGCAGTTCTTGAATATTTAAGGGGAATTGCTCATAACATTTCAATTTAATTTTTCTTTAATTAGAATTAGTGTAGAGATTGTGTATGTTGTAATAAAATATAAAAATCCGAGAAAAGATAAAATTTAGAAATTCAAATAAAGATAAAATTTAAAAATCCAAAAAAGGAAAATTTAGAAAATTTAGAAAAATAAAAAAAGGTGCATGCATTTTTTTGTTTATTTTTTCTTTTTTTTGTGGGTGGTTGGAAGGCATTGGAGTGGCGGAGTTCTAAGTCCATACACCTCCTTGTGGCGTGCCCTAGTAACAACATGTGTCGACTAAGTTATGGACGTTGTAGGCTAAATGCATTGTCGGTGAAGTAATTGGTCAAGTGATCGTGTCGGTTAAGTGTACTTGTCGGTCATGTTAATTGTCGACTAAGTAATACTGTCGGTCAAGTATACTGTCGACCAAGTGGTGTCGGCCAAGTAAATTGTCGGTCAAATAATTGTCGGTGAACTGTACTGGACCCGAGATAGATACGTCGTTTAGCGATAAACGAGAAAGAATTATAACTCGATATAATATATCTTATGATATCGCTGTATTTCTGCCAATATTTTATGACAACAAACCATGCTGTGTTCCTGTTTTGTTTTCCTAGTAATATTTTGAGACGGCAGCACATATGCAATTTCTGCCGCGTTTTTGCCGTCATGCTGTACTTGTAGATAAGCTCATTATTCTGCCATTATAGCGTAGCCTAATGTCATGTTATGTTGTTTTATGTACTTTATGTTCACATATTGTTCTAACATGCAATTTTTAGATTCTATTGATTCAATGCCAAGAACTTCTGCTTAATTTTTGTAGTATATATTTTATCATATCATGATATATGGACTGCTTTCTTCTGCTGCATATTTTTATCGACATTATTTAATACATTGTAGATCGTATGAGCTGAACTTAATAAGAGCTCAATTCTTCCGCGAATTTTCAGAACATATCATACTAAGCATGCATTAATTAAAACAATTGCAAGTTTTTTAAATAACTAATAATTTATTCGAAAATGAAATATAGAGTTCGTGCAAACATACCAATGTTTAAATTCTACTGTTTTGTGCCAAAAGCTTCTGCTTAATTTTTGCAACATTTCTTATATCATGAGGATTGACGAGCAGGGATTGCAGCGATTTTCTGCTGCGTTTCTACTGACATTATTTAAAATGATGAATTATGTTCAGCTATTGTCAGAATTTTATCAACATAATAAATGTAGCACACATTTGTGATATATGCTCTTGGGGTAGATTTGGTGCTCTGGGGACCATATACTACTATAATAACATATATTACTATATATTACTATTTTACACACACACACACACACACGCACGCACGCACGCATGCACGCACGCACGTACGCGCATATTATTATGCGATATTATTATTTTACGATTGAAAAATTACACGTAATTAGCGACTTACCAGTAACATATATGCAATAATATTTATAATATTCAGTTTTGTTATATTTATATCAATATAATTAATAATTGTATTTTGTTTTATCAGATGTATCTTGACCGCATTTTGTCGTGTCGTGACGTCTGTTCGTTTTTTGCTAACTTTCTGCCTTCAACAACTAATAAAGTAGATAGTAGATCATCATTCTATCCTTGTGTTTTTGCCATCACATCATGGTGGCAGATCGTGCTTAATTTCTACTATGCTTCTATTGTCAGCATTTGATCGCACTGCATACATTTCTTATTATGTGTTGGAATAAGTAACGCTTAGTACAGTTCGAATCATTTCCTTCGCAGACCGCTAAACGGCACTTCGATCTCAGCGGCATGGGCGTTGCTACACATGTTATTTACATAATTACAGTTTACGTTTTATTGTTTCTTCGCTTGCTAACAGTAATACACATTCTTTTGCATTTGCATTGAAAGACTTTAACTTGGGCTTTATTTTTCCTTTCACATTCCTTCATTATGACATATGACAGCAAATCATGATTTTTGTTGCATTTCTGCCGTCAGTGTTCGATATGGTGGATTTTGTTTGCTACATATCTGTTGTCACGATATAATAGCAAACAATGGTCGATTTTTGCTGCATTTTAATTGTCATACTATATCGACAAGTTAGAAATTAAGCTCAATGAGAGTGCAGGACATCGAAATCTGTTGTAAAATCATGATTCGATTTACTGGCATATTGCTGGATTTTGCTATCTGGCTATATATACATATATGTATATATGTACAATAATGTATTTAATACAGTGTTCAAAATTCGCGAAGGCTATAGCAAGAAAATTCTCAAAAAATTAAGTAATAAAAATCTAAAAAGCTATTTGAAATTTTTTAATTCCAAGTAGTAGTCTTTGAAATACAACAATTTAAAACAATCACAAGATACGCTTAGGCAGTCGTCCATTCATGAATCATATATGCGTCACTAATGTAGCGCACTTGCAGTTAAATATAACTTAATCTATGATTGGCCAGCTTCAAACTCTTATATCTTAAAAACTAATCTACTTGCAATTGTAATAATTATTGAGAAATTAATTAAAAAAGATCGACCAATTCGTGTGAGTATAAGCGCACGGCGAGAAAAGACGGCCCAGAGACAACCCAAAAATTTGCGGTCGCTAGGCGCGACGAAATTTTGGTAGGAGCGCTCTACAAATGACAACGGTTACGTACGGGCGATACGATGGACTCTCGCGTCCTAGCAACCACACATCAATGGGTTGTTCCTTTTTACTGTGCGCTTATACTTACGCGAATTGGTCAATTTTCTTCATACATACATATATATATATATATATATACACTGTAACAAATAAATATTGTATTTTTGAAACATTAAATAATAAAAATATTTGTAAGTTTTTGTTACAAATAGATTAGCTTTTAAGATACAAGAGTTTGAAGCTGGCCGATCATAGATTAAATTACGTTTAACTGCACGTGCGCTACATTAGTGACGCATACATAGTGTATATAATATATATATACAGGGTGACCCGCGATGACCGTCCACTAAGTACATAGTGTTATTCCTTATCAAAAACTGAGTCGGAAAGTCCTGAACCATTTTTTTATATGTATAACGCTTAATAAAGGAGTTATTATTGAGTAAAGTCTGGCCAATTAGCGCCGACCTTTAGCGCACGTCGGTGAGCTGCCTGGTAATGTGCGTGAGCGCTCCGTCGCTACGGCGGCACGGCGATATTTTTCCTTCGCGCATGCCGCTAACATGCAATATTTTTACGCATCGTAATAATAGAAATAATTTTGACTTCTACTAAAAATCATATTCATATAAAATATAAGATAACTCAAAAAATATTTTGTTGTAATGTTTTGAAAAGGTCTCAAGAAGGACTATAAGAATATGCGATAAAAAATAAGGGTTTTCATTTAAAAAATAAAGTTGATCTTGAAATAACCTTGAAAACCGTCACCTACAAACATTCCTATAACATTAACTTATGTCCCACTTGAAATACTGCAACTTTTATTTGAAACATTTTTATCTAGAAACAATATTTTTGGAGATAAAAATTCGTCACGCTTAATTTTGTCTATCCTGTAAAAATACTGCAAGAAAAAATTATTTCTTTTATTACGATGCATAAGAATATTCTATGCTAAGCGGCGGAACGCTCACGCACACTACCAGGAGCGCGACTCACTGCGCCCGACTAAAGGTCGGCGCTAATTGGCCCGACTTTACTCAATAATAACTCCTTTATTAAGCATTATAAAAAAAAAAATTCAGGACTTTTCGTCTCAGTTCTTGGTAAGGAATAACGCTATGTACTTAGTAGACAGTCATTGCGGGTCACCCTGTATATATACAGGTCTATTTTAAAAGAGCCAGTCAAATATCTCGAAAAATATGGAAGATACGGAAAAACGTTTCAGACAATTGAAATTATGAAATGTTATGGATTATTGGATTATTGGAGAGGCTAGCTTATTAGAGGCTAGCTTATTAGAGGCTTTTACTCCATGCATCGGTTATTGTGCCTTTAAATAAATAATGTGTATGTATATATATGTGTACAGATTATTAATAAAATTTAAACTAATATTACATATTAAAATTTCTAAGAGCGTATTTTCTTACATGAATATGCGGAAGAGAAATAAACAAAATTATTCTAAAAAATATTTATATGTATATACAGGGTGAGTTTTTTAACTTGAGACTGCAAAATATCTCGGAAAGTAAGTTTTATCGAAAAAAATGTTTCAAACAAAAGTTGTAAGGTTCGGAGGGGGCCACATGATAAAAATATGGATTTGACCTTGAGTGATCTTTTCAAGGTGTGGTCAATGTGATTGATGTTTTCTTAAATGGAACCCCCTTTTTTATTCGAAAAATATGCCTGTCAAGGGTGCTTTGGGACACCCTGTATATATATATATATATATTATTTCGGGATACTCTGTTTATATTGAACATTTTCAATTAAACAGAAAAATTATATCTCTGTGATTAATAAAACTTCAACTAAATGCAATATGATTATACAATATTATTTTGTGCCAATTAGTTTTTGCCATATTATTTTTTCTTTTTAATTTATAGAGAAAATATTGTGCGTTGTTCTTTTTTACCATAACTATTAATATATGTATAGATTTCTTTTATTATTTGTTTCTATATAAATTAAGTTTGCATTATTTTATTATATTTATTCCTATATATAAATTTGCAGAATACTACTGTTTTTTTATAAGCAAGGAAGACAAGGTAGGATTTCGATATTGAATTTTTTCTTGTCACTATATGTTGTGTGTGTGCTATTACTCTCCTCTATTTCTCTTTACCTATATTTGAAAAAATATTATTTATATACAAATTGTGTAATTATATTGTTGAATATTATACAAATCAAAATTATCTTTAAATTTCGCGATAAAATTAAAAATTTTTGTTTGAAATTTGATAAACTAAAATTAGAAAAATAGAGAAATTAGATAAAGAAAAATTAGGAAAATAATATCTTGAATTATTAGTAAAATAAGTTAAAACGAAGTGTATATACACAGTAAGAAATAACATACATATCATATAATTGCTACATCATAATGTTCAGTAATTGCACATCTTTCCCGCTGAATAAAAATTATTCAATGTTATCCTAAAACATCACCAATTAAAAAATATAGAATACATATTACCTTTTCAATCTTCAAGTACATAGAATATCAACTCAAGCACTGTATGCGCATCCTGACTATTTTGTGCAGCTTTATGCAAAACTTGAATTAATTCATTATCTAAGCTCTTCATATAAATAGGCGGCAATTTTATACCTTCGCTTCCAGCTTCATAGCCCACCTATATGCAATAGAAATTAAATTTCATAACACATTGAAATAACTTATAATAATTAGCTGTAATTCCATTATTGTGTGTGTGCCTTGTGTGATGTGTGTGTGTGTAGTATCCTGAAATTGGAGGATGATAAGATAACAGATAACAGCACAAAAATTTATGAAAAATGCAGTAAAGAAAGAATATGCTATTTTTTATTCCAAGAAAATTAATAATTAAATAATTTTTTATATAAAAGAACTTGAAATATGATCATGAGCGTTGGTTAAAAAAATTTTGTGACCATATGCCAATGGCGGCACAATCTTTTATTTAGTATTCGCGAAGTGTCTGCCAACTTAATACTACTATATGCGCGTTTCACAGACAGATGACTCTTTAAACAACGCTCATAATTAGCCAAAAATTTTAAACTTTTATATTTAAAAAATTATATTTTTGCAATAAAAAGTAGCATGCACTTTTCATTATTTTATTTTTCACAAACTTTTATGTTGCAATTTTATTATTCTCGATTTTCGATATATTCTGTATATGTGCGTGTGCGTGTGTTCGCGCGCGCGCGTGTGTTGTATGTACACATTGTTAATTAATTCGCGCTCTCTCTAAATAATACATAGCAATATACCTTGACTAAAAATAAGACGAAAAGTCCTGAACTATTTCTCCTGCGATGTTTAACAAAGAAGAAATTATCAAATAAGGTTTACTTAATCAGCGCTTTTCGTTAAAACATACATCCATGAGCCAGTAATGCGATTCGTAGTGTGTGGCTGATAGTATAGTAATATATTATCCGACATGCAATTCACAGATGTATTTTCATCTAAAGAACGGCGCTTTGAAAATTTATTGGGTGAAATTTATTCAATAAACCTTCTTTCGTTAAGCATTATATAGAAAAAAATGGCTCACGACTTTTTAATTTAGTTTTTATCGAGGAATATCGTTATATACTTAGGGAATTAGAATAATTATAATATATCCTGTATGTACACGCACGCACGCACGCATGCACGCACACATACATGTATGTATGTATGATGTGTATCATATATACAGAGTGTCTCAAAACAATCGGATGTTCTTTTCATAACAGATTCTGTGGCCAATTTGAAGACAATTTTTCCAGCAAAAATGTTGAAAAAAAGGCATTATTTTTTGCAAGCTTCCAATTTTATATATATTGTTTATACAGGATGTCCCATTTTAACTTTTACACCATAATATCTCGAAAATCATGCATTTTCAAAAAAAATGTTTCAGACAAAAGTTATTTGACTTAAAGGGGAATAAAAAGGTGCCATTGGTTTGACCTTGGATATGGTTTGAAAGTCAAGTGAGACACCTTTAATTTCTTAAACGGAAACGCCCATCTTTCATTGCATATTCTTGTAGCTTATCTCGAGAGCTTTTCAAAACATTATAATAAAGTATTTTTTCCTCTATTTTTTGAGTTATTTTATATCTTACTGACGTATTTTAATATAAAAAATAAAATATTTCGTAAAATATTTAATTTTCGATAATCTTACCGTAATATTTTTATGTACAGAGTAATGAGACAAATCAATCGGTATAAAGAAAATAATTAATAATATATACGTGTACTTTCAGAGATAATAGCTTGTAACACTTTAAATGCTCCACCCTGTATCTAAGGCTTTAATTAAAATTCTATTATAGTAAATTACATCTGAAATTAATTGAAAAATATAGTTGAATTAATCTTTATACTTAATAAAATTTAGTTTGCAAAGAGCCCTTCATTATCAATTGCTTATAACTTAAAAATTATTGATGCTTCGACATTTTTGCTGAGAAAATATTGGCTACAGAATCTGTTATTAAAAGAACATCCGATGATTTTTTTAGGATGCCTTACACACGTGGGCATATACAATACATCAGGATGTCCCATTTTAATAGAATAGCTGTATATTTTTTAAACTTGATGTTATACAAAAAATGTTTTAAATAAAATTTATAGGGTTTTGAGAAGGAAAACAAATTGAATTTAATTTTAATTAAGGTCATTTTTTAAGATTATGCAAAGATTAATCTAGTTTTTTTAAGTAGAATCACTAACTTTTTTTTTTTACATAAATCACGATTCCTCACAATATTCGGCATAAGAAGTTACAAGGGTAGAATAGCTAAAAATTAAATAATTTACAAGATATTTTATACTTTAATGCAGGGTTGGGAACGTTATTCTATAAAAGTAACGCATTACCGTTACCGTTATTTTTTATAAAAAGTAACTTGTTACCGTTACTCATTACTAATTTTAAAGAGTAATGCATCACCATTACCATTACTTAGAAACTAACGATTAGTTATTTTTTCGTTATGTTTTTGTTTTTTGTAATGCTAAAGTAAGCTATTAGATTATAAAATTATATTATTTAATAATCAATATTAAATATAATAATCTATGTTATAATTAAAAACTCTAAACTAGTCTCTATATAGCAAGCGTTTTTTACATTAAACTTATTTAATGATTCTGATTTTTTATTTCCAGTGCTTTTATATCGAAATAATTTTATCCAATCAGAAATAATGCGCACGATCAGCGTGCGACCAACGCGCAATCTATTGAATAGATAGAGATATAAAGATAATAGGGAACCAAAAAGTAACAATAAAAGTAACGGCTAATTTGTTACCGTTACTATAAAAATGTAACAACGTTACCGTTACCGTTACAGACAGAAAAAAGTAACGACCGTTACCGAAAAAAAGTAACTGTAACAGTAACGGCGTTATAAATAACGCGTTACTTCCCAACCCTGTTTTAACGTAACATAATTTTATATATAAAATGAAATATTTCTAAAATATTCCTTCTTTAATGATCTTATCTTAATATTTTTATGCATAAAATAATGAAAAGAATTAATTGGTGTAAAAAAAACACAGTTGTTTTTAAAAAAAAGTATGTAAAATTTACAATGAGCAGCTACGTATTTTTTCTTAAAAATAATTATGTGTTTTCTTTACAGCTATCGATTTCTTTCATTATATTTTGTGCGTAAAATATACAATTAAGATCATCGAAAAATAAATATTTACAAGATATATTTCACATAATTTATGAAATATTATATCAAATTAAAGTATACAAAATATTTCGAAAACTAATTTTTGGCCATCTTACCGTTATAACTTTTTATGCCAAATATTGCAAAGAATCGTTTTTAGTGTTTTGAAAAGCTCTCGAGATAAGCTATAACAAAGTGCTATAAAAAGTAGGCAGTTCCATTTAAAAAATTGAAGGTGACCTTCACGTGTCCTTATAACGATGCCATCCAAGGTCAAACCAATGACACCATCTTATGTTCCCCTCAAAACCATACAATTTTTGTTGAAAACGTTTTTCTCTAAAATGCTTAGTTTTTGAAAGAAAAGGGGTGTACGGGTGGTCTAGGACACCCTGTATAATTACATATTTACTTGTAGAAACATATTTTTTTACTTTCCCAATATTATTTTAGCTCTATTTGCGAATTGTCTTATTTATATGACAAAACTTTTGAGAGTGAAAATGCCCTAAATCTAATAAAAGAATTCCACAAAGTGAGGTTGTATTATTGACATATCGCGATAGAAAAAATTTCAACTTATCGTTGGAAAGGCAAAATTGTTACCAAACATATGTATGAAAAAAAAACTTGCACAACAAAAATGTGGAAAATTAAGAAAAAAAGTTATGGCTATAACAAAAGAACAAAAAACTGAGCCTGTTACACAAAGAAATGAATAAAAATTGAAATCGTAATAACTCATTAACGGCTTAGTGAATTAATGTGATTTTTTTTAGCATATTGGAAAGACGTAAAAAACAACCTCACAAATTTTCATCAATATTGTACTATTTTAAGATAGTTCCAATACATCCTTAATGTATCAATAATATAATAACATTATATAACTGTTACAATTAAATGAATAACTGCTATATAATATTGTTGCTTCCTTGAGTAGAAAATTACAAGGAATGCGTGTATTACATGTTACAATCCTGTAATATTACTTTTTATATTCGGTTACAGTGAGTTATGTAACCGTTATGATATAGTTATAAAAGTGTAAGCATCCTGTATGTATGTATAAAAAGGATAAAGGTAAACCTTGATATTAGCGCCGACCTCACGGATTTCAATGACCTTGACATATGTTGTCAAGGACATGGCTCTGAATAACCTGCAAAAAATTTTAGCCGTCGCTCGTTTGTTACAAAATTATTAACAATTAAATGATATGATAAGAACACGTATTAAATGCGATAATCTGAACTTCTCCATGCATGAGCGTTATATATTTAAGTATTTAATTGTATATTCAAGTAATTGCATAGGCGGGAGAGGGGCTTTAGGATTAAACCAAATTTTAATTTTATATCAGAAATAGGTTTGAATTAGGTTATATCTTCTGGAAGTGGACCCCCCCCCCATAGAGGAGGGGGCGGAACCCACTGCGTTCACGCATATACTTTACAATCCCAGAGAGCCAAGTCTGTCGAAAGCAAATCATGCCAAGTGCCTGCTATCAATTATTGTTAGCAAAAAGGATACAAATTTGGTACAGAAGTTGTTATTTCATATTAAATCGACAGATTGGTGCCAAAAACAAAGCAGAGTATGCTCACAGAATCTGATAGCAGAAAACGAGCAAGATTTGCTAACATGACGACGTCAGATTGGTTGCAAAAATCGAGCAAGATCTGCGCGCGCGCAATCTGATGGCAGATTGATAGCAAAAACCGAGCAGGATCTGCGCGCGTGCAATTTGACGGCAGATTGGTAGCAGAAATCGAGCAGGAGCTGCTAACTTGACTTGACGTCGGATTGTCGGCAGAAACCAAGCAAGATCTGCGCGCGCGCAATCTGATGGCAAATTGACAGCAGAAAACATCTATTATAATTAATCATTTTGTGACCATAATTCACCGTCATTTTGTCACTTGGATTTGAGATCCTTTAAATTCATTTAAATGCACCATTTTATATAAATGGCCAAAAGTTGCATTCTGTTCGGTTTCTGCTACCAATCTGCCGTCAGTTTGTGCGCGCGCAGATCCTGCTCGGTTTCTGCCATCAATCTGACGTCAAATCATGTTAGCAGATCCTGCTCGGTTTCTGCTGCCAATCTGCTCTCAGATTCTGTGAGCAAGCTCTGCTGGCAGATCATTAGCCTAATGCGGACATAACAGATGCCAAATTGCTAGCAAGAACTGAGGAAATCTGTTGCCAATCTGCTGGCATATTGCGCGCATTTTGCTTACTGGGAATGCGAAGCGAGGTCCACTCCACAATTCTTGTGTGGGTGGGAAAGTATATGCGTAGACGCAATAGGTTCTGCCCCCCCCTCCCTCTCCTACGAGAGTCTCTGAAAGATATAACCTAACCCAAACCTAGTTCTGATTTAAAACTAAAATTTAGTTTGGGTTAGGTTAGGGTTAGGTTAGGTTATATCTTCCAGAAGTGGAACCCACTGCGTCCACGCATATACTTTACAACGCGAAGCGAGGTCTACCCCACAATACTTGTATGGGTGGGTCGAAATATATGCAGTTTTATGTTGCAAGCATCGGTCGGTCACTATCTTCAATTGTTAATAACTTTGTAATAAACAACAAGCGACGGCTAAAATTTTTTGCAAATTACTTAGAGCTATGTCCTTGACAATATATGTCAAGGTCATTGAAATCGGTGAGGTCGGCGCTAATATTAAGGTTTACCAGAATAAATTTTTATAATGAATTATAAGCTATAAGAAACAGGAAATACATTTACGTTGTCTGAATGAATAGTTGCTCGCACTCCAAGCTTCGTTAAACCTGCTGTCGCTAGAAGATCCAACAGTTTAACTAATGCCGCACATGTTGCTTTTGCTATATTTCCAGATAGTTTATTTATATCCACAGGATCATTCACGCCATTCGAATGATCATCCGACTTTTAAAATAATGTTATTTTACTAATTATCTGGTTTATATATGTATATAATAATGATATTTTTTATGTTATTGATACATACTTTTATAATAAATACTTCTGTCCAACGTATAAATCGGGTTGCACCTTTATAATCGGTGCCATTATGTACTCTAATAGATGGTACACCGTCCATTAATTGTCCATCAATGGGACTTTTGACTCTGGAATAAAAGATCATTATATTTTATTAATTAAGGAAACAAAAAATTCACAATATAAGGCAATATAAAAGATACATAAATATACATTCACATGCGCATACATACAAATACACATACAGACAGCATTTGTTATTTGAAAAAAAATCACTTTAATTGAAGAAAGAAAATTGACCATAAAGCTCGTACGCAATTAATTCATACAATGATAATGACTAGATAAGATTGATCAAGATAATTTACCCCAAGTTAAACAGCACATCGTTATCGACCCACTTTATATTCACAGTCTCGTCCGGTTCCGGTGCTCCCTGACGTCCGCAACCAATTGAAAAATCTTGCATATTTTTAAGAGCAGCTTTCAAAGCTTCCATTTTTTCTGGCATTATTTCTACCATTAACCCATCCTCTACAATACTGGACTTGGCAGAAAGTCCCATTGATGATTTCAGAGCACCATTGATGACAATAAAACTAGCACCGGTTACTACATAATGAAAAAATATATAAACAATGTTCTTTATACATGTTAAAAATACTTATAGAATTGATAGTATTAAGTAGTATTTAGTAATATTAAATAGAATAGAAAATACTGAATAAACATGAGTCAAAAAATCAATTTTATCAAAGTCAAAAGCGATTTTCAATTTTAATAAAGCAAATTATTTGTTCGCTTCTATTTATCACATAGATTCGAACGCCACTCATCGTACCGGTCACATCATCCAATACAGTGCGTTGTGATTTAATTTCTTCCGAATTTACTGACAATGAGTGTTATTTATGTTCTAACAAATTAATCAGCTCTTCTACAAAGTTATAGTTATAATTTCTATAATAACATCAGTAATAGACTCAGAATACAAACAATACAATGTGGAGAAACCGGCAAATAAGAGCCACGGCGCGGTCATTGGTGCGCAAACTTTTTATTGTTAAATTTTAATAATGAACATGTATTAAAAATGTATGTTTCGGACCGTTTTTTGGTTTATCTTCAGCATAAATATAAATATATAAAGATTATATTGGCATTTTAAAACTTGATATACACAATACTTGTTGTTGCAATCAAATATCAAATTAAAATCGATAATCAGAAAAGCGGACTTGTCAGTAAAACGTGCGTAGGATCTGTACAAATCAGTGTCACAACGTCTAAATGCCATCGCCACACGTATATCCGGGTATATTGGTGATTTACAATATAATAATGGGATGATGTAATAATGACCAACGCTGACCGATCAATACGGTCATAAAAACAATGGTCATAAACAAAGGTCAAAAAACAAAAACCGTGGAAAAAAGACCAATGCAACAAGTTTAATTAATCTTTAAATCCAATTTAAACTTTAAACTCCAATTCAAATCTAAATTTCCAAATCAATCAATTTTTAAATTTTTGGGAAATTCTCCACTATTGTCGCGAATGCGTGATGTAAGCCTTTCGTATCACCCTGCAGGTTCAGCCTATTCTTTTGCCGCTTGATGAACAACATTTTGAAGACCAGTCTTTTATCGAGGGAAGTTTCAAATTGGCAATGTTTAAAATTTCGATTCTATCTCAGCCAAATTCATGGTTGGCCTCAAGTCTGTGATTCGACCGAGGACTGTAATGTGTTTTATACGTAGATACGGCTCCTTTATTATTATTAATAATTATTAATAATAATAAAGGAGCCGTATCTACGTATACGGTATTGAGTATCTCGCCATGTTTTCCCCACTTTGCCCGATTATGCGCGAACCGAGATCATTCTCTTTTTGGATAGAGTATACGTATATGATTTCCGAAATTTGTTTCTTTAGCTATCTGCAAGTTTATCCGATAGAAGCGCATCGAAATTCTTGCACGAAATTTTATTTATTTATTATACTTATTATTACAAGTTGTTGCGTGAATCCTTAGGGATTGAGTTCTTTTGCACCTTGACAAAACCACGAAGTTTACCAAGGCCGACATATGATAATCTCGTGTCAAGATCACGAAGAATTGTTTAAGAAAAGGTTCGGAAAAGATTGGAATGTAAGGTACCGTAAAGAATGAATGCGGTTTCTCCGGTTGATCGTTTTCTCTAGTCACAGCTCTCAGTTGTTTTTTTTTTAGAAATAAGAATGTTATACGTTCATGAATCGTATTGAAAATGTATGCCAGGAGATGACTATTGTCTAAGAAGATGTCAATTAGTCTAAGTTTTTCCGGGGAAAACTCGGGTGTGACAATAAAAAGGCGCGGTCCACCAGGCCAATGATTGTTCCTTTCTTCTGACATAGTAAATGATTAAATGTAAAATTCAGGTTATCTTCCAGAGAAGTGGATTTATAATACCAATCGAATTCTATTACATTATTATTTAAATCTATTACAGTGCTGGGCTCCTGAGACAAAGCGTCGCGCTCCTTAGTTACGCGTATCTGGCAACTCGTTGTTAACGCACGAGCGGTGAGTGGGGGCAATAGGCGTGAGCCACGGAATCGGGCCGAAATGTGCAAGTAAATCCCAGCACTGATCTATTACATTATTATCGTGACATCTAGAAAATTAGGTTTGTTGTCCACTCCTCCATAGTAAACCGTAATCTCGAATGAAACGAATTGAAGATAATTAAGACCTCAGTAAATACGGAGGAAGTAATCGCCAAAACTATCTTCCACATATCTATAATAAAAAGACAAATTGAAAGAAATGTATCTAATCCCAAGCAGAACAGAAAATCACAAAAATATCAAATGACATCAAGATGACATCAAAATGACATCGAAATGACATCATAATGACTTTTGATAGTCATTATGATGTCATTTTGATATTATTGTGATTTTTTGTTCTGCTTGAGATGGGTCTATTTTCTAAGTCCTGCAAAGTAATATCCGCAATGATGGGGGACAGGAGAAAGCCCATGGGAACCTCGAACGTTTGCTGGTATATTCTTTCGTTGAAAGTGAAATATGTTGAATTAAGTACAAATCGGACAGCCGTCAGGAACTCGTCTCTAAGGATATTACATTTCTTCCCAATGAAACACCACCTTTCCAAAATACTGTCCAAAATACTAACAATAAGTCTAATGGAATTAAAAATGATTCATAAAAAAGAGACATCCTGTATGTGCCTGATAGTTTTTGAACTAATTCGAAGCTATTGGAGATGTTGCTATGTGCTCTGGGAATAGCATTGTAAATGATGTGCAGAAATGTGTTTAAGGAATGTAGAGTGTTGATCAAGGAAACGATGATCCTGAGCGGGCAGGCCGACTTATGAATTTTCGGCAAACCATATGCTTTCGGCAGAATGCTCTCTCTAGGGATATTACATTTCTTCTCAATAAAACGCCATCTTTCCAAAACACTATCCAAAGCTAAGTCTATTCCTCGAGATGAATTCCTGATGGCGGTTTAGTTCGTACTTAATTCAACGTGTGTTACTCTCAACAAAAGAATATATCAACAAACGTTCGGGGCTCCAATGGGCTTTCCCCTGTCCCCATCATTGCGGATATAGGAACATTTTGCAGGATTTAGAAAATAGAGCCTTTAGATACATTCCTTTCAATTTGACCTTTTATTATAGATATGTGGATGATATAATTTTGGCGATTACTTCCTCCCTGTTTACTGAGATCTTAATTATCTTCAATTCGTTTCATTCAAGATTACGGTTTACTATGGAGAAGAGAGTGGACAACAAACCTAATTTTCTAGATGTCACGATAATAATGTAATAGATGTAAATAATAATCTAATATAATTCGACTGGTATCATAAACCCCCCTTTTCTAGGAGATATCTGAATTTTACATTTAATCATTTACTATGCCAGAAGAAAGGAACAATCATTGGCTTGGTGAACCGGGCCTTTTTATCGTCACACTCGAGATTTCCGCGGAAAAACTTAAAATGATAATTGACATCCTCTTAGACAATAGTCATCCCCTGGCATACATTTTCAATACGATTCATGAACGTCTAACATTCTTATTTCTAAAAAAATCAACTGAGAGCTGTGACTAGAGAAAACGATCAATCGGAGAAACCGCATTCATTCTTTACGGTGCCTTACATTCCAGCCTTTCCCGAACAATTTAAACAATTCTTCGTGATCTTGACACGAAATTATCATATGCCGTCCTTGGTAAACCTCGTGGTTTTGTCAAATTGCAAAAGAACTCAATCCCTAAGGATTCACGCAATATCTTGTAATAATAAGCATAATAAATAAATAAAATTTCGTGCAAGAATTGCGACGCGCTTCTATCGGATAAACTTGTAGATAGCTAAAAAAACAAATTTCCGAAATCATATATGTAGAAACACATCACAGTCCTCGGTCATTACGAATCACAGACTTGAGGCCAACCATGAATTTGACTGACAAGTGAGTCACTTGTGAGATAAAGTCGAAATTTTAAACATCGCCAATTTGAAACTTCCCTCGATAAAAGGCTGGTCTCCGAAATGTCGTTCATCAAGCGGCAAAAGAATAGCGGCAAAATGAATCTGCGGTGATACAAAAGGCTTACATCACGCATTCGCGACAATAGTGGAGAACTTCCCAAAAATTTAAAAATTGATTGATTTGGAAATTTAAATTTGGATTATGAACGCTCCTGAGACGAAGCGTCGCGCTCCTTAGTTACGCGTATCTGGCGACTCATTGCTAACGCACAAGCGGTGAGTGGGGGGCAATAGGCGTGAGCCACGGAATCGAGCCGAAATGTGCAAGTAAATCCCAGCACTGTAATAGATTTAAATAATAATGTAATAGAATTCGATTGGTATTATAAATCCACTTCTCTGGAAGATAACCTGAATTTTACATTTAATCATTTACTATGCCAGAAGAAAGGAACAATCATTGGCTTGGTGAACCGGGCCTTTTTATCGTCACACTCGAGATTTCCGCGGAAAAACTTAAAATGATAATTGACATCCTCTTAGACAATAGTCATCCCCTGGCATACATTTTCAATACGATTCATGAACGTCTAACATTCTTATTTCTAAAAAAATCAACTGAGAGCTGTGACTAGAGAAAACGATCAATCGGAGAAACCGCATTCATTCTTTACGGTGCCTTACATTCCAGCCTTTCCCGAACAATTTAAACAATTCTTCGTGATCTTGACACGAAATTATCATATGCCGTCCTTGGTAAACCTCGTGGTTTTGTCAAATTGCAAAAGAACTCAATCCCTAAGGATTCACGCAATATCTTGTAATAATAAGCATAATAAATAAATAAAATTTCGTGCAAGAATTGCGACGCGCTTCTATCGGATAAACTTGTAGATAGCTAAAAAAACAAATTTCCGAAATCATATATGTAGAAACACATCACAGTCCTCGGTCATTACGAATCACAGACTTGAGGCCAACCATGAATTTGACTGACAAGTGAGTCACTTGTGAGATAAAGTCGAAATTTTAAACATCGCCAATTTGAAACTTCCCTCGATAAAAGGCTGGTCTCCGAAATGTCGT